AGATCGCCTGGAAGAAGCAAAGCGGTACTGAGTGCGACACCGACGTTTATATCATCGGCACTATCGCTTGCCATGACAGGCTTGTCTTCCAAAATAATTGTGGGGGCCCAGGGGGCATCGGGCTTTTTTGATCCCGAAGTTGTTGTAGAAGAAGACCTCGGCTTTTTTGGTTGTTGGGATTCTGGTGGTTGAGACTCAGAGCGCCTCTTCCCAGCAGAAGGCTGAGATTTATCACTCTCAGCCAACTTTGAAATAGGCAGAGTGTCTTCAGACTCAACCTGAGCTACCTTGGCCTTTGGTTGAGCCTTTTTTATTCTTTTTGGCTTCGGTGGAGGAAGGGTTTGTGCAGGTTGATCATCAACAGATGATGGAATGCTGGCCAGAAGATCTTTTGCAACTGGTTTTGGGCGGCCCATCTCGGCAGTAAGGACAAGTCGTCGCCGACATTTTCGTTCTGATATTGGGACCAGGTATGGAGCCGAAGTTGATGGCTGATCAGCTGGATCAGATGTTGATCCTTGATCTGTTCGTGATGTGGATGCAGTCAACAGAGTTGTAGCAGAGGGCGGAGAAAGGCTTTTCTTCTTCCTTTTGGGAACGTCGGACAAAGTTGATTTGTATGATGGAATAAAATTGAGAAGCACATGCGCTTTCCTTTTATGGACTGGCAAATCCAGAAGTTTCTTCAAGTCTTTGCTGGGGACAAAAGATTAGCAAAAATTCTTCTGTGGCTGATGAACAGCTGCAAGAAGAACAGACGTTAGAAACAGACAAAGTATTTAAGATTTTGAAAGAAAACGGACAAAGCTGAATACTGGGCTCTTACCCTTGCTCTCTAAAACGGATCGGGGAAGAGGGTAGAGATGAATGTCCTCGTTTGGAGCAAACTCCCAATTTCCCGAGGTAATGAGATAGTCATCTCCAGCCCCCTTGTTGAAGTCTGGGAGGTCGGCTACGATTTGAATTCTGTAGACCTCGGCTTAAGATAATAAATATAGCTTTTTTCTTTCAAATTAAGGGCACACATGGTATAGCAATACTGGGTATCGGATAGTGTGATCCTAATGTTTTCCTGTTTAGCTAAGGCTATGGCACCAAAGATCACTCGATAGGAGTTGATTGCCAGTTGCATGGGGTTCAACTTATAATAGTGAAGAATCTCGCGAAAAAGGATGTTGAGTGGGAGCCGGAGTCCGCACTCAGTAAAAGCTACAATGGGAAAGGGCATGGAGTTTTCTGTAAGCATGATGGAGTCATCATCCCCAGCCAGCCTCAGATGGACATCGACAGGGATGGAGAACTCTTGCCTAAAGTACTCAAGTTTGGTCGGGGTATCTACCCTATGTCTCCATATACCCATGATATCGGCCTGAATTAGAAGGGTTGAAATTCAGAAAGAAGATGTTTCTTATTGATGGGACCTCGGCAAAAATAGGTTTGGGCTGGTACAGAAATTTGTAAGGAATGTTTCAGTTTTGTCCTAAATCGTGGGTTCTACAAACAAATCCCAAACCTAAAACTATGGAAATGAGGATCAAAGGCACAGATCTAGAAAAGACACAAAAAATAGAAAGCAAGAATGGAATTTCAGAATCAAGAACAAAGATGGTTTATCAAGAGCATAAAGAATACAAGAAATACAGGTCCAAGATTAGTGACAAAGATACAGGGAAGTAGTGAAACAATGCGTGTGTTCAAGATATGGGCAAAGGCAAAATCATGGGAAGGACACATTCAGGTGTATGAATCACAAATTAAAAGTTTCAACAGATGCAGTAAAGGCAACAAGTAATGGAGAATATCAACAGAATTGAAAATGAAAGGAACAGTAGCTTACCAGAAGAGAGTGAAGCCGGTATGAAGATTGCTGAAGTTCGACGATGGTTGCAGGAGTAACAGAGTAGCGAAAGTTTCACCAGAAAGACGAACGAAGACAACTGCAGAGCTTGGAACTTGAGCAATGGCGGATTCGAAAGAAAGAGTTTAGAGAGAGAAAAAGCAAGAGAAATCAAATGCAAAAGTAGAAAAATGAAGAAAGGGGGAAAGGTTTTGTCAAAAATGAAAACGGCAGCAAAAAATAATCAATACGCCTAGAAGAACGTATACATCAGACGGTGCACGTGAGAAAGAGACGGCTTATGGGCGCGTCACAGGTACGAACTAGTAAGAAAGAAACGCGTGATTAAAAACGGTTGAATTATAGTGTATGACAGCTCATACGTGTGGAAGGGTTCTTAAAATTTTTGTTCTTCAATAAAAGGAAATCGGCCAAAATAATAATCTCGGCTGAGATACTGAAAACCGACGTATTGGAAAACGGAATAGGTTCACCTCAGAATGCCGAGGTAATAGAACTTAGGGGGCAGTTGTGGGAATATATTTTTCTGAGTACCAACACGTGGCAAGGTGACGCCGACGTGTCAGTCGAGGTGCCATGTGTCCTGGTCATGACACCAAGGTGATCTCGGTAAGGCCGAGGTTATCCCCGAAGATATCAGAATCTGAGATAAGAGCATAAAAGATAAGGGACAAAAGATAAGGGACAAGAGTCCAAGAATAAAGAGGAGATTTAGCCAAGATAAGGATAAAACTCTTAAAAAGTTTATCTTTATCTCTTAAGGAGTCCAAAGTAAGTACTGAATTGGAGTCCATAGAAGTGAGGCTTCTAGTGGGACTAGAATTAAGTAAACTATAAAAGAGAGGCACCCCCGTGGGTCTAAGGTACGCAATTTATGCTTTGAATATTGAATTTAGCACTTGATTATCTTTGGAAGATATACTGACTTGATTGTCGGAGTGCCCCCGGGTGGAAGAGCCACCACCGGAGCCTTTTCTTTCTGTTACAGGTTAACTGAAGCCATCTATTCTGCCGGTGCTCTCTAGCTGATTACTAAACGGGCAGTGTGATTAGAAAATCACAGCCACTGCCGGAGCCTTTTCTTTCTATTACAGGTTAACTAAAGCCATCTATTCTGCCGGTGCTCTCTAGCTGATTACTAAACGGGCAGTGTGATCAGAAAATCACTCACACACGTAATATCGTCATTATACTCAAGTTTTTCTCTCCTATATCATTTTTTAAGATTTTTTTTTTTGAAATTTAGCTATAGGTGTTTATAGGTAGACTTATTATTCAATAGGTCCTGTGAGAATTAATAAATTTTTTCATTAAACACTATAAAAAAAAAATTAATAATTGTTAATTTTCAACGACAACTTAAAAATTGTCACAAAAATGGCACTAATTATAAATTTTAGCAATAGTTTAAAAAAATCGTCACCAAAAAGTCACTAATTTTTAACTTTTAGCGACAATTTTAAAAAAATTGACATACAAAAATATCACTAATTATAAGTTTTAGCAACAATTTATAAAAATCGTGACATAATAAAAGGTCGTTAATTGTCACTTTTTAGCGACATGTACAAAAAATCGTTATAAAAAATTATTTTTAGTGACGATTTTGTTAGGACTTATTTTCAATAGGACATGATGGGAATTAAGTCTAATTATTAGGACCTATTGATAGTTTATAATTTTTTATTTTTTTAATTAAGGGAACTCAATGTTTTATAAGAGGAAGAAAAAAAATCTTAAATTTCTTAGGCCAATCCTATTATTCTAGTTCATTTCTACCCATAAGGCCCGGCCAGGACAATGGGCTGGATTGAGGTGGGCTTCTAAGCGGGGGCTTATGGGCTCTCCTACAAAAAAAAGAAATGATATTCGGATATTCACAAGACAACGTGCCTGTTTGGTAAGCTCAAAAGCAACTCGGGGCATGCTTATAGCCGAAGGTTCTATTTACACACACAAATTCCTCTTTTTACACATCCTTCTTAATTCACACACACAAAAAAAAAAAATAATAATAATAATTTACTCATCACACACAATTTTGTTCTAGTTATATCCCATACACACACTCTCATCCACACACCTTCTTCCACACCAGCAAGCAACGATCAAACCCTATCTCTCATCAACGGTGTTCAGAGAGAGAGAGAGAGCAGTCGCAGCGGGCACTTCCTTCTCGGCCTCGCGCTTCTTGGCCTCCACCTCCTCGTCGCAGCGCTGGGGGAGGTGGTTGCGCTGCTACTAGAACCGCCATTTGGGGCCGAAGCGAGGGCGAGAAGGTGGCTTGCTGTCGACAAGACGGAAGGTGGCGTCGTCGTCGTTGGCGCCGCCATCGCCGGTGAAATCGAAGATGGAGTCGGAGGGATGGGTGGTGTTGTAGGGGTTTGTGAAGTTGCGGGTAGGGTTGTAGTTGCGGGTCCAGTCGGCTAGGATTGCTCCGACTTCAAAGCCCACCATTGATGAGAGATAGAGAGAGACTGCAACAGATGAGAGGAAGAAGACGACGATGGTTCAGAGGGAAGACGAAGAGTGGTCACCAGAGAGATAGAGAGATGATGTATTTTGGTAGTTTCATTTTAGGACAAAAATGTAATAAAAAAAATTTATTAAGTGTATGTAAAGAGGGTAAATGATGTGAGCAAATAGAAGCTCCCGCGGGAAGCTGATTCATGGGTGATGAAATGACTAAAATGCCCCTTCAAAACTTCAACAATTACAGAATTGCCACTATATAAACCCTCTTGTTGCCCTAGCCCTCTCCTCTCCTCTCCTCTCCTCACACTCCTCTTCTCATTTCCTCTCTTGCCGACTGAAGACGATCCTCCGTAGCAGCCGATCGAACTCCTCCACATCTCCAAGATCAGCCGATCGAACGCCTCTACATCTCCAAGATAAGCCGATCGAACTTTTTTCCTCCCTGTTTCCGTTGATCTACACCAAAAAGGTTAGAGTTCAATATATATATATATATATGTATATACACATCGAGTTAGGGTTTACACATGCAGAGACCAGATCACACTCCATGTTCCTCTCTTTGCTTTCTTCTTCTTCTCTGATTTTCATCATCTTTTTTGTTTGACTAAAATGCCCCTTCAAAACTTAAACAATTATAGAATTGCCACTATATAAACCCTCTTGTTGCCCTAGCCCTCTCCTCTCCTCTCCTCACACTCCTCTTCTCATTTCCTCTCTTGCCGACTGAAGCCGATCCTCCGTAGCAGCCGATCAAACTCCTCCACATCTCCAAGATCAGCCGATCGAACTCCTTTCCTCCCTGTTTCCGTTGATCTGCACCAAAAAGGTTAGAGTTCATGCCTTTTTGTTTATGATATATATATATGTGTGTGTATACACACATCGAGTTAGGGTTTACACAGACAGAGACCAGATCACACTCCATGTTCCTCTCTTTGCTTTCTTCTTCTTCTCCGATTTTCATCATCTTTTTTGTTTTTTTTTTTCCCAGCCACCATTAGCAGCCGTTGGACGAGTTCGACACCTGAGTATTCAGGTAAGATTCTTCTGCTTCTGCTCAATTTTCAGTGTTCTTGTTAAATTTTTGGTCAAATGCTGCTCAATTTCTGTTCAATTTCTGCTCAATTGCTGCTCAATTCTTGGTCACTTGTTTGCTGTAGTGTTAAAATCAAAATCACTTTTGGTTCAGTTTTTTGTTTTTTAAATTTTTATATATATATATATATAAAGATTGGCCCAATCAGTTTAAATGTTGACAAAATCTTGAATCAGAATCATTGTAGCACAGATTTACAATTATAAACACTGGGTGTTTGTGTATTCCTCGAATTTTTTTGAAAATAATTAAACAATGCATTCTCTGTAAGACTATAATGTTTGAAGGAAATTCCATCCTAAATAACCAGCATTGTAGTTTATACCGTCACAGTAAAGAAACTAAGAAGCAAAATCATTTCATGAATTTCCAAGTTCCCCCATCGTAAAGATGTTAATAGCTGCCTAAAATGGGTTTGACTCGTTTTAAATAAATGCTATGTGAACCCTACTGGTATTATTCAATTTTCTTCTTTGTCCAAATGCTCCATTAACAGATGTGTCAATCTGTGTCTCATTGGCCCTTCAGCACCGAAGTGTGATAGACATTCTTCAAACTGATTATTGAACATTGCATCCGAGTGAAGTGAAGGATATAAATTGCATAAATATAAATTTGGCAAGACTTTTTCTTTGCATCTTAGGCTTCGGTTTTCTTATTATTATTAACTTCCCTCAATCTTGCTAAATGAAGAGATATTGTCAATTGCCATATTCCTTGCAGTTACAAATCTGATTTATAATCCAAGAACAAAAATCAAAATACAAATTAGTAGTTTCCAACTAAAACTTTTGAAAAGCAAAGAAGATTCGATTAAATTAGAAGTATATTGAGATAAAATTAACAGAATAATTTTGGAATAATTAAATGGGAATGGAATTTTGAATGTTAGAAACTTGGAACATTGACCAAGAGCAATTATTCCATTGGAACCAAATGGGGTATTATTATAGAATCTACCTGAGGGTTGGGGGGAGAGAATGAAAATTATACCTGAGGGTTTGTTTGGCTGTGTTCTCATTCTGTTTTTTTTTTCTTTTTCTGGAAAAACACTGATAAATTGTCCAAATTGAATCCATTTTTATCATAATCTTTGTAGTCTTGTTATTCCATAGAGTGCCGGCCTTGTGAATGATTGATATTGAAAAGTTGGAAAGACGTAAATATAAAAAAGGTTTGGCACTGCCAATTTTATGAGCATTATTAGCTTACATACTCTTCTCCTATGTTTGTTTTGACATTTTGGTTTAGGACTATTAATCCAATGGATAATTAATCTAACAAATTTGTAGGATTATTAGTAATGGGGTAGGGGTGAGATAGTTAATACCACACTAATTTGATAGGATTATTAATACCTCACTATTAATATTGTGAATCAAACATGACCTTCATGTGTTCGTTGTCAATTTGCAGATTTCCAATGCCTCACATCATATGAAGGATAGGTCGTCAAAACCGATTAGTTTGTGGTATATTGGGAAGATATTGCTCGCTTTTGTTTTTATTTTTGTTTTTATTTTTGTTATGGGTGCAATATTTTCATTAGCTATGGAGAATCTTCCAAGGCTAATCTTGTTTATTAACTCTACAATGTAATTTTTGTACTTGTGCAACAGAGCTTGTCTTCTGTTAAATTAAGGATTTTATAACAGAATGTTTTATTTTATTTTATTTTAATTTTTAATATTTGCCAATGTGTATATGATGGAGAGCTTTAGGGAAGAACTGTGCTGTGTTACTTTTGAAAATCATAATTGCATATAATCTCTCTTTTGTTAATGCTCTATGAAGCAAGGGCTTGGGGTTGCGGCATTTTCAATATGATTTATTGTATTTTTATTGCAATGATATTTTTTTGTTCCCTTGTGAACTCCATATTATTAAAAAAATAAAAAAAAAAAACAAATTTGTGATAATGTAAAAATGTACCAAATTACGTATTAATTAATCAACTTCCATTAATGAAATAACTTTTTCAAAATTTAAAGTGAAGAAAATGACAAAATTACAATGTTTATGTTCACAAGGGCAAAAATTACAATTACACAGTAAAAAGTTATTTTACAGCTTATTTACCAAATACTACTCTGCTGCTTAAATGTATAATTTCACAACTACGCCAAACAGGTTACCAGCTTATACTCACAGCTATAAGCTATAATCTGTTAAGCTATAATCTGTTAAGTTATAATCTATAATCACTTCCCCACAGTTCTACCAAACGGGGCTAACATTGTTTTGTCATTTATGTCGGTTCCAAATCTGGATCCGCACTCTTTTCCACCATGTCGGCAAACCCAATCAGACTCAGAGAGACAGAGGCCCCGTTTGTTTCCAGAGATGGAATAGAGGCGATTGATAGTGAGGGAATTAATAGTGAGGGAATTGTTAGTGAGGGTCGTTTGTTTTCAGAGATAGAATGGAGGGGATTGATAGTGAGGGGATTAATAATGAGGGGATTGTTAGTGAGGGGATTGATAGTGAGGGGATTAGTAGTGAGGGGATTGATAGTGAGGGGATTAGTAGTGAGGAATTGTTAAATTATTTTTATATAAAATAATAAAACAAATAAAAAAATATAAAAAATTAAAAATTATATTTTAAAAAAAATTTCCAATATATAAAAAATATAAAAAATTAAAAAATTTCTAATCCCCTCACTATTTTTCTAATACCATCTCTACCTCCTCACTATGAATCCTCTCCCCAAGGGTATTAGTAATACCAAGGTATTAGTAATACCCTCCCTATCTCTCAAAACAAACAAGGTATTAGTAATACCAAGTATTAGTTAGTCCCAAGGTATTAATAGTCCCAAGGCTATCTCTCAAAACAAATACCCCATATACTAATCGCAAGGTCCTAGTAATCCTAATCCCCTTGCTATAACCCAAAACAAACGGGGGCCAGAGAGTACTGTGTGAGTGGCTCTCACTCTTCAACCGTTACTGTGATTTGACTCCATCTCTCCAACGTCTCACAATCTCCATTCACACAATTTTCTTTACAAACACTCGTTGATTTGTTCATTACTTTGGAACACAGCATTTTTTGCTTTTTCTTTTTTTAAAATTTTTGGGATGCAAAGGATTTGAGAATTTTGGGTTTTTCTTGAATTTGAGATCTAGGGTTTTTTTTTTATTTGAGATGGCGAGCTCGGAGGAGAAAGTGGTTGCTGTGATCATGGTGGGTGGACCCACCAAAGGTTAGAACTTTGAACTCACTTCATTCATTCTTTCTTTCTTTGTTTCTTTTTCTGCTCAAGAAATTGAGATCTTTTATTAAGCTTCAATTCCATATCTTTTTCTTGTTTTTAGGTACTGAATTTAGGCCCGTTTCGTTCAATACTCCGAAGCCTCTGTTCCCTTTGGCTGGTCAGCCAATGGTTCACCATCCTATCTCAGCTTGTAAAAGGGTATGTATGCTTTAAATTTACTCAATCCCTACTCTTCTGTTTGGTTTCTGAGAAATATTGAGGGGAAAACAAATAAATAGAAACTCTCAATTGTCTTGTTCTATGATCTTTTGTGAACTCTGTTTGGTTTGGAGTTTTAAAAATAGTTTTCTGCTTTTTCAATCTGTGGTTTTTTTTTGTTTTTGTTTTTTTTTTTTTTTGGTGTTGATTTTTTTTTTTATTTTTTAGATCCAAGTAATCTAGATAAATTAAAAGGTATAAAATTTGTCCAAAAATTTTAATAAAATTCATTGAATATAACAAAATACGAAAATATACTCTCTTTTTTTTTTTTTGTATTCAATGAATTTTGAAAGATTTTTGCACAAATTTTGTACTTTTTAAGTGTACCTAGATTAAGTGGATCTAAAAAGTAAAAAAAAAAAAAGGATTAAAATGGTAAAAACAATCAACTCAAAACAAAATAAATACAGATTGAAAACTTATAAAATTATTTTTGAAAACTCCAAACCAAACACAATTAATGGGTTTTGTAAATTTGCATTCTTTGTGTGACTTTGTTTTATTGGTTTAAATGTAATGAAGAACAACAAAATGCTTAAAACAGAGTAATTTCTCAGTATTTGACTGTCAGTAAAGCTGGTTTTGTTGATTACTCTGATGTAGATGCCCAATTTGGCTCAAGTTTTTCTAATTGGATTCTATGAAGATCGAGAATTCGCGCTATATGTCTCTTCAATCTCTAATGAGCTTAAAGTCCCAGTGAGGTGACGAGAACACAAAGTTACTTAAATACATACCATGTCTTATTTAAATTTAATCTTCTTAAGAATTGGTTCTAAATCAATTTCTTGATGCTGGTGCTGCTCTAGGTACTTGAAAGAAGACAAACCTCATGGGTCAGCTGGTGCCCTTTATTACTTTCGAGACCTGATTATGGAAGATGCTCCGGTATATTTTCTTTTTGTCCCCACATTTGTGCTTGATCTGATTTGTATTAAGTTTTTATGTTTTCAAATGATTTCGTAGATTGTTGTAAAAAAAAAAAAAAAAAAAAAGATTTCGTAGAATATTTAAATCCATTAAGAAAGTGTTATTGAAAGCAAAGTTCAGTAGCCTGAGGATTGTGTTTGAATCCTTTTTAGCCAAGAGCTTTGACGTCCAACCCTCCTGATCCCCCCACACACTTCTGGAAATACTTCGTTTTCCACAGAAAAGAATAATCAAAGAAAAAGTAGCAGAAATACTATATGCCCATAAGCAATATCAAAAAAATAAAATAAAAAACAAAGTGCTCAGAATTTGAATGTATGGTGTAGATTTAAACTTAGTGGGGTGTGGTGGGTCATCCTCATTTCAAATTCAGGATGTTTTTCTAGTACTTTTTTCTAGGTACATAATAATGTAACAAGAATTCTATGACTTTCTTTATTGTCTTGCTCAAACATAAATTACATCTTTTTCGTTTTTCCATTTTCATTCTTGATACATCAAGTGATTTGATTATTCTTGTGTGCTTTTCTCTTTCAGTCGCATATCTTTTTGCTGAATTGTGATGTGTGTTGCAGTTTTCCTCTGCCAGACATGCTTGGTAAGCTTTACCATACTGTCATCGGAGTTGCATGTTTCATCTTGTTTTTGGGCACAATCTTCTTTTCCCTTGAAAAATGTGTTCTCAACTTCTTGTATATTTTTTAATTAGTTTTACTAGATCATTATTTCTAACTCATGTATTAGAGTTAATGCTGGTCTTTGTCATTCTACTGGCAGAGGCGCATAGAGGGTATGGTGGGATTGGCACATTGTTAGTAATCAAGGTCAGCTTCCATTTGTGAATCCTTCTAATTGTGAAGATTTATACTGGCAAACCAATCTATATTGAGAACACTCTTTGGTCCTCATATGGGTTGTTTCTGTTCTACTTATGCAGGTTTCTGCTGAATCAGCCAACAAGTTTGGTGAGTTGGTTGCTGATCCAATCACCAAAGAACTGTTGCATTACACAGAGAAACCTGAGACTTTTGTATGTACACTACAATTGAAGTTGTTTCGGTTTCAACATGTGATTTGGAGCTTGAATGCTTGATATCCTGTATGGGTAATTTGAATTTCCATTTTTTCTGTTGCAATTCCTTAATGATCTTCTTTCTGTAAATTGCAGGTAAGTGATTTAATAAACTGTGGTGTTTATGTCTTCACTCCGAAAATTTTCAGTGCCATTCAGGTCTCCACACACCGGGAAGACAGAGGTTGGACATTTTATTCCTTCTTAATTGGGAACTTATATGTACCCTATTCAAGTCATGCAACTATCTATCTCATCATCTGTCTCAAACAAATGCAGTTTAAATCAATAACGAGGACTCTGTTTCCTTTCCCCTCTCTCTCCCTCTCTCTCTCTCTCTCTCTCGCCAACAAACTTAATGTATTTTAACATGTTGCCCACCATTCCTTTTCAAAATTAGGACACAATTAATGTAACATTGGTTGTATCAGTATATCTCTGTTTTTGATGGTTGTGTTCTTTGTTCCCATCTTAAATGTTCTATAAGAGTGCATTGCACACTTCTTCTTTCAAATGAAAGCGTATATGTAAAACTAAAATGATGGAGCTGGAAACTTTCAGGCTGTGCTTTATAAAATATAAATTACCTCAAAAATAAAATTGTATTAGCAATAAAGCATCAAAAGGACATTTATAATTACTTGCAAATGCAATATATTATAATGTTTTATTTTATGTTGACCTGGGATAAAATAAAATTCTACTATGTTAATGTCAGCTCTGTATTTCATTATTTGCAGCTAATTTACGGCAAGTGCCTAGCTTTGAAGCCCTTCAGTCAGCAACAAGGTCATACCTCTTATCAGAAGTCTGCATGTTGTTCAAAATTTACTGTTCCAATTTTAGATTCTGAAAATAATACTTATGAGAATAGGCTATGAATTATTACTCATACACGATATAATATAAGCAGATGCATGCATATATGCATACGTTAAAATAATTATACTCTGTAAATATATATGATTATGCTGGTGGAATATCTGTTTGGGAATGAAAGTTGTACCTACTACAGTATCTAGTCTAAGTGCAATATAGGACATCTATGCATAATATCCTGGCAAGGAAGCACCGTAGGATGTCATCTAAACAATATTCTTGGCCATGTTTGGTTGACAAAAGAATTGAGTAGAATGTGCTGTTCCCTAAGTTTGATAAAACGTCATTATCCCAAGATACTTAGAAAAATAGTGTTAAAATAAAATAAATAATAAAAAAATCACTGTTTTGTTTTTCTCATGTCAGTATTGAAGCAACTTTCAATTTTTAACTGTCAAACTTACTGTATTTGTGCTTTCGTTTGCAATTTAAACATGTGATTTCTAACATATTTGAATCATCTCATACTAAGTTTTTCACTAATTAACGATTCTGTTGATAGAATGGTTTTTATTTTTGACTATGGTAGTCTCCCCTCAAGAATGAAGTGCAATTTTGGGTGGTTATTTTTAACTTGTTCTTTACAGTTTCAATGCTTTGATAGGTTATTCATTTATATGATCATAGCATTGCTATCAGTATGAGAGTTTATATTGACAGGCTTCTTTTTTTTTATGTTTTTACTTAATTTTGGTGTTCCAGGATAAATAATATTTGTGGCTTTATATTTATTCTATTGGTTGTCCTTGACTACAATATGCATATTTCTGTCTCTATGCTCATACTATATGCTTGAACAGGTCTCTTCCAACAGATTTTGTACGATTGGATCAAGATATCCTGTCACCTCTTGCTGGAAAGAAGCAATTGTATACCTATGAGACCATGGACTTCTGGGAACAGATCAAAACTCCAGGGTATAGTGGATTTCAATATTTGTGCTTCCTCTTCCCAATGCCTTGAACCTTGGATTGTCATGTCTAAATCTTCGTCGAACTCTACAGGATGTCTTTGAAGTGTTCTGCTCTGTACCTTTCTCAATTTCAATTTACCTCTCCCCATCTCCTAGCGAGTGGGGATGGCTCTGAAAGTGCTACAATTATCGGTGATGTTTATGTTCATCCATCTGCAAAAATACATCCAACTGCTAAGGTAATTCTGTCTCATCTCTTTCCAATAGTTGTTTCACATTGCTCAACAGTATTGGTTATCTTTCTGTGCTTTTTCAAGTATTTTAGAAACCCATGCCAAATGTTGAAACTAGTGTTGAATCCTGAATTGGATATTTTCCATGATTTTCAGCCTTTCTTTCCCATTTTGTATATTTAAATTTTTTCATTTTCATTTAAACAGATTGGCCCTAATGTTTCAATCTCAGCAAATGTTCGTATAGCAGCAGGTGTAAGGCTTATAAGTTGCATCATCTTAGATGATGTTGAAATAAAGGTAAGGAGTTGAAAAACGTTATAGAACAGTTACACCGAAGACCTGAGATTAATATGTTAATAATCTCCTGACAGGAAAATGCGGTAGTTATGCATGCTATTGTTGGAAGGAAATCATCTATTGGGAGATGGTCGCGTGCCCAGGTAAGCTTGATCACATTTTCACTGTTCTGAAAGCATTTGATATTCCTAAAATTGCCAATTGATTCACCTTTTTTATCAGTGTGGTATTAAGTTAAAGCTTCTAGATGTCTTTGACATGCCAATATGTCGAAGCTCTTGACATGCTAGATTTTTTTGTGTCTCTGTCAATAATTTGTTGCCACTTGTAAATTTTAATGATTCTATCATCCCGGGCATTTTAAAAGATTTCCCAAGTCCAATAGTGGCGATCTGTTGTGACAACTGAAGCTAAAAAACGTATTGATACTTGGTGTGATCAAGTCTTTGTGCGTTCTTTCTAGTTTTTACAGCTGACCCTACTTTTGATTTTGTGGTTCAGGCTGAAGGAGACTACAATGCCAAGCTTGGAATCACCATCCTTGGTAATCACCCTATCCTTCTCATGTCTAGTGTGTCTGAAGCAGAACACCATCTCATAATAATGCGTTTTTCTCTCTGATGCAGGAGAAGCTGTGACAGTTGAAGATGAAGTCGTGGTGACTGACAGCATCGTTCTCCCAAACAAGACCCTTAATGTTAGTGTGCAGGAGGATATCATTCTGTGAGGACAAGGAACCAAGATCCGGCTGGAATTCAATGCAGTGTTTAGTTGTGATCCTTGAATTTTTTTTTATGTCGGAGAAATCAAATTGTGTTACTGAAGTAGAGTTTCAGTAGGGAACAATTTTTGCCACGACACATGATTTTTTTTTTTTTGTTTTTTTAACACAACACATGATGTTTTGAGAAAGCTGAATGGCTTTTTATAAACTATATTAATAGAAAGTGAAAAATAAAGAGTTTTGTCATTTTGCCTATTTGGACCCAAAAGTTCTATGATTGTCGTGCAGGTGCTTTATATTTGATTACATTGTTGGCCTTACCTGGGAGCACTTCTCATTTACCTTTCTTTAGTGCCTCTCAACAGAAAATATTTAATTGTCAAAACAAAATGTCTTTCCTTACTGGGCAAATTACACTCGACCTCTCCTAATGTTCGAGAAAAATATAATTAATCTTATACTTTTGATATAATTATATTGACATTTCTTTAAGATTTTAAATTACATATCAGTTAGGCCATTCTTCATCAATAATTTGTTAATTATACAAGTAAAAAAAATATCATCTCTCATCTATTAAAATATATATATTTATCTCTGTTTATTTCAATATTTACCCATCATTTGTATTATTTCTAATCAATTTAGCCTTACAAAAGAGAGGTAAATGTAATTATATAAAAAGTGTAACATTAACTACATTTTTCTCAAATCTCAAGAAATTTGGGTGTAATTTATCGCTTCTTTTTCATTGAAAACTAATATTTGCAACAACTCTTTTTCTTATCCCTTTTTTTCCAGGGGAAAACTTGCATGGTGCAACAACTTAAGCCTCTTTGTTTTTATATTTTGCTTGGATGTCTGGTTCTCTATGAAAAAATAAATAAAATCTGAGCATGTCGTAATTAAATATTGGGGGAATTCCACTGTCATGGTGATCAGAAAAAAGATTTACAAAAAAGTTATAAATGTTACAAATATTAATAATTAAAATCATAAACTCCTTCACCAATGTGTAATAATTTTTCAAAACGCCAGTGAATGATAATTTCCCCTAAAATATTTCATTCTGACCACTTGAGCAAACCAACCAAAGCAATTCTCAAAAAGCAAATTAGACGTGTACACGTATATTTTCATATTAAAAGACTGTTAATGCATGTGGAAAATCCCTCTATCAAATCTATATAATGACCATAAAAATACAATCATTTACCTAGTCTCTGGAAGCGGTATATGCCGGTGCTGCAGCTCTCCAAACAAACTCTGAAATGAGCCTGAAGAAATTAATTTACCATTACATAACAGCAGCTCCATAGCCCGGGCCAATAACACCTACAATTTGGTCAGATATTTCTGACAAAAAACCATATACATACAGATGGGTCATCGTGATATTTCTCAAATAGATAGTTTGAAAGGGAAATGCAGGATCATCTTCTCCACCAATAACCCAGGCACGGTGAAAAAACTGCAACAGGATCTGCACTTTGAACTCATTGATGCGGTCGTAGTTCCAATTTGTAAGCCTGCATTTCCATGGGAGAGATGAGTACGTGTCCTTCTTGGGCAACACGTCCTTGCTCAGTGAATCCAAGCATCTCTGTGTCTTCATGTAACAGATTCAAAGAAGTAACTCTTGCATTCAACACCGCAAGCCCCTTGAACATGTCGAACAAATTTATAGTCTCGTTGGCTATACTTGAACATTGAGACCTGCCTTTCCGACAGTAAGAAGAATCCCGATGCCACCTTTGTAAAATTAGCACAAACCTAGGGTCATCGCTGGGTTGCTGAGAATACTTTGAAGGCCGAGGAACCTTAAAACTCACAATATGCAAGTCACATGGCAAGGATGAAGCTAAAGGAGAGAAGGTTTTTGGAGGTGGCTGCACAGATATTTCTTGTGGTTCCTTGGCAATAAAAGCATGGAATGGATAGTTCAAGTGGGCACCAACACGATGAGAGAGCAGCGAGGGGCTTAGAGGGCTGGAGTTCGAAATGGGATTTGAAGTCTTGGAAATGTTGGATTCCAAAAGGATGTGGAAAATTACATTCATTGGTCGGTTATCCATCACGCCTTGCCCAAGACCACGGTCATCATCTCTTACCAATCGACGATCAAGCATGATCTCTAACCATCCATTTTTAAGGCTCGCCACACCCAAAGATTGCCGGCTATGGACAGAGAAGCGGTGACCATTTGTTCCTTGCATATACCCCAGCGAGGGCATTGGGTAGTAATTTCCTTGCAGAGGAATCTTATCATAGGTTTCTCTCCGGCTCATCTGAAAGCCATTCAAATCAGAAAAGAATATCCGTCTGTTATCAATGTCTGTCTTGTATCTAACTATTAGTTCTTTGTCATTGAAACTCTGGCCAAGAAGCTCAACATGATATTCCTTCTCAATGAGAAATTCCTGAATTGTGTTATCACCATTATAAATTCGGGTACTGTGCGAAATTGGGCTTTTATCCCAAGCAGTATTCGGGAAAGAGAAAACTTCCTGCATCAAAGGACCCTCTGATACCACCACTTGCCCACCAGCCTGTATGATAGAATCAGCACCACCAACAGGTTTGAATAAATACGCTCCACTTTTCAAACTAGAATACATACCTATTTCTTCACCGACAACATTTTTGTAACCATCTTCACGGCTTACTTTCTGCAACAAACCCAGATTGGCATCGAAAGTGAGAATTTGGTGCCGGTTACGGATTACTATGGTGTCTGCACTTTCTAATTTTGAGCATGAATATGGTGTGGGGCAAGCAAAATGGTTGTCCTTTGTGGAAATTCTGAGTCTCGCTGGCTTGGCCTTTCCACATCCAACAAACCCATTAGCAATGTAATATACATGCAATCCCAGGGGTGGAACGGAAGCTTGCCAATGGACACGGTGCCTCCCGGTAAAAATCTTACTTTTATCATGCTGCAACTCGGGAGATACTTGGCTTTTGACACATGTCCAATTTGAGTTCAAAACGGTCACATCTGGCCTGTCAACAATAACCATCACAATTTCATCTCTTGTTTGCTCAAGCGGATTAAATAGGACAACTGATTGTGCAGTTCCTTCATTTGCGCTGATTGATCTATGCACTGGTTGGACATCATATTTAGATCTCACCTGTGCCGGTTCAAACTGAGCTGTGTTCTGATCAGATTTCTCATGTCGGATTCCAAGCAGAACTTCAATAGCTTTGGACATGAAAACTTGCAAATCTTGTAAAGAGGTATGCATTCGAGTTCCGTAGTCCTCAACCACATGATCCTTAGCAGTACCCGTTACTCCATCGTGATGCTGAAAAAGAGCTAAGTTTCTTCTCGCAGCTGTCAACTTGTAGGAGAAACCAGTTGGCAACTTTTCGCACGACGATCTCTGGCAGTATCCTAACAAGAAAGCCATCATCATTTCGGTGGCACGAAGAGTGTGCTCCAATACACGATCCACAGCCTTGAAGAAAGGCCTAGATACATAGTAGCCACTCCAATAGTCTTGTTCACGATCAGAATAAGTAAAGAAATCACCTGATAGAGAAGGAAAACCTCCAACCTGACCCGAGCCAACCTCACCAGGAAGTGAATAATTTATCCTGTCAGCCTCCTCGCGAAGTGTTCGGAAATAATCTTCCAAAGTTCCAAACTTTGCCCCAAAATCCACACAAGCTCGGACTAGAATTGATATAATCAAATAACAATTGATAATTCCTAAACTGTGCTTCCGCTTCGTCCACGCTGACGTAACGAAAATCATCTCCTAGTGGTACAAGAAGCGTGTTTGTTCGGTATAGTGTCGATTTCTTCTTATACTGATCTAGCAGTTTGAGCGCTCTCTCCTTCACATTCTCTTGGTTGGTCTCCACTGGATCTTCTCTCCAAGGGCAATACTCATAAGAACCAACGCCACGCATTCTCGCAAAGTCAAACTGGCAACAAATTGCAGGCTCTGGACCACAAGTATGCGGAACATCGTAAGAATAAAAGGGCATCATATGGACAAAAATATCAGTTGTTTCCTCGGGATCCCAGCTTTGGCGCCATATGTATTCCAAATTCTTGGAGAAAGCCAGTTCCTTTTTCAACTCATAATGGGTCCTCTGTATAAGCATGTTCTCAAAGCCCATGCGACGGAGAAGATATGCCATGGTAGATGAATAACCAAACGGATCTATTGCCCAAGAATTTTTAGGAACAACCCCGATGGTGTCTTTCAACCACATATTCCCCTCCATCATCTAAGGCATGAATGGCACAAATTAGAGATGGCCTATCATCAGCACTTACATAAGCAGAAAATTAAGATTCTATGCACATGACAAATAGGAAACATCATCTGATTTCACATGCCGACATGGGTTATCAAATTTCCATGTAAGGCTAAATTTTCCATCAGAAGGGTAGAAGCACAAGGGTGCCCAAAAATGTTAGGAAAGATGATGTACTTAGTAACAAGGATTAAAAACCTTTGGTGAGACTACATACCAAACACAAGTTTAAAAAATATATATCTCAACGTCATATACTCGTATACCACTTAAAACTGGATAAACTAACTTCTCTAAACCAATACCACTATACTAGAAGAAACCCATACGAAAGCATAATATAGTCTACATTGTTAATCTCATAAATGGCATCAAAAGACCAGATCAACTCTTCTTCTCTTTTCTTTTTTTTCTTTTTCTTTTTTTTTTCTCTTCTTCATTTTTTTTTATAGGTTAGGCAATGAGAGATTCGAACTTCTGTCTCTTTATTGGCGGAATGCGGCGTAAATAGGGGACAATCAGACCAACATAATCATATCTATTAATAATCTCCTCATGCAAAGCAATCTACATAGCCTACTTCAGTAAAAAGCACCATAAGGCCTTAAGATCAAAAAACTACACGTAGATTGTTCGATGCATTAACTACTCAATTTAGATACTAAAAATTTTATGTCTATGCAAAACCTATGAAGAGGGAGTTCAATACCTGTTCAATGATAGCAAAATAATGTGAATTAGCCTGCAAAAAGTTAAAACAAATTTAGTAAGTCAAGCTTGTTCAATATACAATTGCCCAACAATTCTGAGAGAACAAATGAAAAATCAGTTCCTTTAGCCCTTGGCATAAGTCTAAGATTATGTAAATAACTTCATCGAATCTAAGTATTTTGATTTTCAGATGTACAATTCCAGTCAGAGGCAAAGACATCAAATAAAGTTTTCATAAATTGCAGTCAGAGCACTAGGAGTTAGTACATCAGAGAAAGAATATAGCACAATAATGGCAATTTTTTAGTGCCCCACAAGCATGGCAATGCACATTCTCTGATTGATTTGAAGATGGTGATGAATTAGCTTGCACGAAACAATAGACAATAGAACTGCATTTCATGAAATTGCATTCAAACCCACACCCTAAATAAATTTATAAGGAAGCCCAGAGGTGAAAAACGCAAGTTCAAACTATCCACATGTTTGCGGATTTTACCTCATCATTCATCACCCACCCACCTCCAACAATTTCTAACTGTGCATTCTTCACTAGATTGATGAAAGATTCTTTTTTAGTTTCTGAGGCATCCTTCCACCATCTCTCCAAATAAGACATCTCCTCCCATATAAATTTGCGGCGAGGATCCTACAAATCCAAGTTCAAAGAATGTTAATTAGCAAACCAACCCCAATTAAGTTCAAGGCAATTGACATACACCATAATTGAGTCTTGAGAGAGAGAGAGAGAGAGAGAGAGAGAGAGAACCTGTTGGTGAGCGTTTCACTTTTTAGGTTCATTAGTAGTTTTCAAAGCCAACAAGTATGCATATTTTCTCATCCAATAAACTAAATGCTTGAGTCCCCAAAAAATCATTTGTTAAACTACTAGATTAAACGTTCTTGAGAGAGAGAGCATTTGGTAACAGAAACCTGTTAGTGAGCCTCTCACTTTTTAGTCCCATTAGTAGTTTTCAAAGCCAACAAGTTTGCATATATTTTCTCATCCAATAAACTAAATGCCTGAGTATCTAAAAAAATCATTTGTGAAACTACCCTATATATTACACAGACTTTTTTTCATCACTTATATACAATTCACTTGGTCCAATAATTGATGAAATATATAATTTGTCAAAATTCAAACAAAAATGTGAATTTGGGTGGAAGTATCTTATTCCGTAATGAAGACAATTAGATTCTTTAGCATGAAGTATAATTTTTTTCTCGGTAAGTTTACCGGCACTATAGTTAAGCTAGATCGAAAGCAGAATCATTGTTCATCAATAATCAAGATCAGTAAAACCCAACAAAATTAAGATCAAGCAACTATTACTAACTAATTAAACTCTCAGTTCACAAACAGAACCCAACTGAATTCAGATCAATAAACAACATTTCAAACCCAAAATTAAACCCAGATCACCTTTGAAATCAGTAAAACCCAACAAAATTAAGATCAAGCAACTAGTACTAACTAATTAAACTTAGTTCACAAACAGAACCCAACTGAATTCAGATCAAGGAACAACATTTCAAACCCCAAAATGAAACCCAGATCACCTTCGAAAGAGTCTCGACGATGGTATCAAGAATATGCCTCGACTGTCGATCATAATACTCCTCAACAGTGAGCTTCCAACCCGGATCATTATGCGAATGAGGGACCACAAAAACCTTCAATTTCTCCGAATCCCACTCGTTCCCTTCGTATCTCACCCTCCAACCCTGCTTCCACGGCCCACCATCCACATCCAAGAACTCGATCTTATCGTACAAATCCTTGGTGGTGATATCAACAACAGCCCCAGAAACACCATCGCGATCGGCAAATCGAGGAGATTTTGTCCGACGAATCGGATTTTGGGGGTTTCGGTGCTTGAATTGGGAAGAGAAGGGTTTGGGGACGCCGAAGCGGAAGACGACGATGAGGAAGAAGAGGAGAGAGAGGGAGAGACAGATGGTGAGGAAGTTGGAGAAGATGAAGTCTCTGAGAAAGAATCGTTTGCGGGATTTACGAGAGTATTTGGACTTAGAGTGTGGCGAAGAAGACGATGATGATGAGGATGATGATGTGGGGAGGGTCCAGCCTCCTCCACGGCGGGTGTTGCCGCCATTGTACGAGGTGAAAGCCATCTGCGTGTGTGTGGTGGCGTTGTTGTTGAAGTAGACGATTTTGGTTTTGTGTTCAGTTTTCTATTATTGTGGCTGCTTGATTATTTTAGTCCATTATTTTAATTTTTAATTATTTTAATAATTTAAAATTTTTGTATTTAAAAAAATAATTAAATTTTTTTATAATTAATTCTGATATTTATAAAGAAAAAAAATAAAATAATTATAAATTTAATGTGATATTTTATTTTATTAATTATTTTAATATAATTTATCTTTTTTATAAATTTTAATTTAAAAGAAGAAGGAAAAAAAACAGTCAAAAATATGTGGAGAGTGTGGAAATAGTAAGATGCCAGAGCTGACGAGACGAGAGTATTAGATGTCGATCTATTATTAGATAAATTAATAATGTTAAGTAGTTTAAAATTTTGTGTCTTAAATAGTTTAAATTATTTAAAATGACGTTATTTTGAGTGTAAAATGATATCGTTTTGACAAATTTTAACAAATTTAAGTCATATAAGTTATAAAATTTTGGCCTATCAAACATTTTTTTAAATAAATAACTGATTGTTTGGGAAGCGACAATTTTGGCTTACAAATTGTCAAAAGTCAACCAAAAAAAAATTACTTTTCCCTCGTAATTGAATAAGAAAGAGGTATAATATTGAAAATTGTGTGAAAAATATATTAAAATGTGTAAAAAATATATTAAAATATATTAAAATATTTTGGGATATGTGAAAAGTATATTAAGTGTTTGGAGATTTGCGTTTTTTCATGGATTAAAAATATGTGAAAAGTATATTAAGTGTTTGGAGATTTGCGTTTTTTCATGGATTAAAATTTTTAAAATTTTTTTATGTTTATGAGTTTTTCTCAACTCGACGGATAAGAAAAAAAATTAAAAATTTTCAAAAAAAATCTTCACAAGGCGAATCAAAACAATAAAAAAAATTGACATAATTTTCAAAAAAAATCACTAAAAACAAAAAATAAATTAAAAAAAACTTGTAACTTATTTAGAGAAACACCCATTAAATATGCTGACTTTTTGTATTTGTTATTGATAATCACGGTTGCCATTAGCTAGAGGGAAATGTTTCGTAGCTCGAAACATTTTGCCCCAAATGGCTCGAGGGAGAGACGCAGAGAGAAGCAGAGAGAGAGAAAGAGAGAAGCAGAGGGGAAGAGAGAGGGAGAGAAGACGATCGTCGCCCCGGCCAGCCGCCGATCGTTCTCCTCCGCCGATCGTCAGCTCGTCGCCTCCGCCCCCCGCCTCCTCCTCCTCCTCCCCCGAATATTATGCCCCCTCTTCCTCCTCCTCCCTCCTTCCTCCTCTTCCTCCTCCTCCTCCTCATTTCTTCCTTCTTCTTCCTGGTCTTCGTTCATCTTCTGCAAAAAAAAAAAAAAAATCGAGCCATTCGAGCTTCCCGTTTTCGAGCTACGTAGCACGATCGTTAGCTAGATCCATTAAACAAAAGTTACCATAAACGCTACGTATGAATTCGCTGATGATGTGGTTAGGGTGTTGACTCCTGTATGGTTAAGTATATGTCATAAATTGAATCAAAAAATATATATATATATGTCGCAAATTAAAAATTGATATTTGCTATGTCATATCATTGTAAATCAAATTATAGAATTTTTAAGTGTCTCAATCCTTTTCCAAAAGTTATATATGATAATGTTTTCAGTTAATTGTTAATAGGGTTGAATATGAGCCCGATGGCCACTAAGTCTGCTCGAGCCTACCCATGATGTAGGGGAGGTTGCAATTATATTTTAGACTCATATGGTCATCAGTCAAATTTTTTTAAGCCCAATTATACTCTGGATTGGGATTGTAAAGATTGATTCAAGCTTAGCCTAATCTGTCTACAAACTATATATTCTAGGGTAAATTACATTGACTTTTCCTGAGGTTTACCTTAATTACAAGGACCTCCCTTACAGTTTCAAAAATTATACAGACCTCCCTTACTTTTGAAACTAATATACAGATATCTCATTCCCTTCAAAAGAGCATTAATGACGTTAACTTGACAGTGAAATTAATCATAATACCCTTCAACCCATTGTCTTTCCCAAAGACCTAACCCATTCTATATTATCAACATCTTACTTCCTTTACTACCCATTTCTGCCATTGTCTTCCTCACACTCTCTTTCCTAACCTCTCTAATAAAAAACTCAAAACCCAAACAAACAATAATCCGATCAAACACACACTCTTATTTCGACAATTGATCAAACACACCGTTATTTCGACAATTCAAGGGTTTGAATCAAGGGTTCAAGACACACACTGTTATTTCGACAATTGATCAAACACAAATAATTCAACACACACACTCTCAATCAAACATAAATAACCAGATCAAATACACACACTCTTCCCAAATTGGCAGTGCATATATAGATAATTCGAGCTCGTCTCCGAGTGTGGTTTTGATTGAGAGAATGCATCCCACTGTTATTTCGTTGCCTTCTCCGATGATCGAATCCCTGGCTCTCTTTCTCTCTCTGTCTCTCTCTTTATCTCTCGCGCGCGAGCGCGTTCTGTGTTTACTCAATCACAATTGTTCTGTGCTTTTCAAGAACATGTCTAACCCAAGTCAAATCAGGTGCAAAGGCTCAAGACTAATAAATCGAGATTGAAGTTCCAGTTGACGTAAGATCTATTTATAATCCAGTTGAGAACTCCGTTGCCTTTCGCCTCCTTGAGCTTCACATCTTCTCCTCATCGCATCGCCACCATCGCACTCAACCACTACTGCAATCTCTCTATTTCTCTCTCACTCTTTCTGCAACTGTTGCAACCGCCATGATCGTCATCGCGATTCGACATCACTGCAACCCTCGCGATCAGATCGTGACCATTGTGACACCAAGCTTCTCAGATCTAGGGTTTTGGTGATGGTGAGATGAGATGAGAGAGAGAAGAGTTCGGTATGGTGGTGGCGGCACTGGGCGGAGGTTTTGAAAGGGAAGGCGTCAAGGCAACGGAAGATGATAAGAGGAGAGAGGCAAACCACAGAGAAAGAGAGAAAAGACAGAGAGAGAGAGAGAGTGAGTGAGTGAGTACAATGATATATATATATATATATATATAAAAGATATGCATGTTTTTATATATATATATATATATATGGGCATATATATATATATGGGGGAGGTAAGGGCAGTATTGAAATTTGAACAATAAGTTTGGATGAAATCAGTCAAATCTGTTTGAATTTGGACGGATGGGTAACAAAAGAGGGTATTTGTATATTAGTTGCAAAAGTAACGGATGTCTGTGTAATTTTTGAAACTGCAAGGGAGGTCCCTGTAACTAAGATAAACCTCAAGGGAGGTCAGTGTAATTTACCCTATATTCTATAATATACTTTTATAAATATTTGTTTAACATTATTTAACTTAAGTCTTTGAGGGAGTTTCTAATTACATCGCGTTAATATCTCTTTAAATTTATATGCATGAAGCTTTCTTCATACAGTACAAGTGTTACAATGCATAAAAGAATGTATTGAAAAAATTATTAAATATAAATAGAAGCACGCATTTGAGTCATGACTAAACATGACATTTTATGCACGTAGCATTATTATTATCATCATTTTAAATATTAAATAAATTTAACTATTTAAATTAAACCTAATTTTTAGCCTATGAATAGCCAACAATGTTCAAAGGGTGTAAGAATAAGAACAATTCTACCACAACCACAAATCAACCGATGCATATGCAATCAAGCATGTATGATATCTTTGGAAGCGTAATAAGTCTTTTTGGATAGGGAAGAGAATATTAGACAAATTATAGAGCTATTGATCTTGGTATTATTGCTCAATAAAAATAGCTAAAAATAATAGATGATATTGGTAATTTTTTTGGTTATTCACAACCATAATTGACAAATTAAAGCATCTGGTTTTAGGTTTAGAGTGCCTCTCTCTTTTTCTTTTTTCTTTTTAAATAATTAATTCATTGTTTCAATTGATAGCCAATGAGGTTTGAGCCTTAGGTTCCACTCCATAGTAAGTTAATTAAGTGAAGAAAAAAAAAAACAAACAAACAAACAAACTAAACTAATCATATACAAGTCTTATCAACTGTTATAAAGAAATTAAACAAAATCAATAAATCAAATCATGTACCAGCAAAACAAAGAAATTAAACCAATAAATCTAGCTACAAGTATAAATGATAATGCAATTCAAATTTCATTGCCTTTCAATGCATTACACCACAATAAAACAAAACACTATTTTCTCTCCCCTTCTCATTCTCACTAATAAAACAACCCCACAATTCGTTTTCTTCTTTGTATCATTTATCATTTAACAATTACGTTTTATACCACTTGCACGAGGTATTTTCAAGTCCTAACAAGGCTTTCCTTGAAAGCAAAGAAGTGAACCCGCGAAGCGTGTGATTGTAGTAACAGATGTCCCAGGTGCTGCTGCTATCTTAGCTTTGTTCTCAAATTTGGTAAATGTCTTTTGAGGCCCATTCGGATCTCCAGATTGAACAAAGAATGCATCATTCATCATAAGATCTCCTTGTGACCTCCATATCCAATTCTGCCACACTGACTGATCAGCATACTCTCTCTTAGTAACCTATACCATCCCAAAAAAGAAAAAACAAATAGGTTAATGATCCTCTAACCACATCAATATCTAATGCATAAATACATAATGTACACATATACACACATGTATATATGTAAGAATGACGGTAAATTTGTATGATAAAAAATAATGAACATATGCAAATTGTATTTTATTTTCTCTAATTTTCCTTCTGCCTTTTACCTCTCTTAATCTTGGGTTCAAAGGAGCAATGAAGCGGTTACCCTGGCTAATGATGGTAGGATGGGTGCTACCTCCAATGGCATACATGTTCCAATGAGTGTAGTCATTGTTCACGATGTGGAATAATCCCCATCGGCATCTGGGCATTCTCTGTACTAGTCTCTTACCAAAGTGGTTGAATGCGACCGTGATTTGCATAATTTGATCTTGTGAGCTCGAGTCATGTGCCCCAAATAGCATTACCTGCGCCATTCCAAGCATTTTCATTATGATCATTAAATCCATTGTCATCTTATACATTATTACACTTGCCATAATTTGAATTTTTCTTAGTTCATTATATCACTTAGCTTGGAATATGAAAATGAATCCAACTAATACAAATCAATTATGTTACCTCATTATGATCCGTGAAATGGCTATTTGAAATGGTGATAGCAGTGGATCCCTCAATGGCATCAATGAGGCCGTCCCTACAGTTAGACATAGAGACATGATCAATCCAAACATTGGAAGATCCATAGATTGAAATGCCATCCCCATCACTAATCGTCCTAAAGCCAATATGGTCAACGGCATCTATGACATTGCCACCATTGGCAGAAACAATATTTCGTATATGAAGATTATGAATGATCACATTCTTTATAAACTGGATGGTGATACCAGCTCCACCAATAATGTTTACATGAGCCCCGCGGCCATCAATAGTCTTGTCACCCTGCATGATCAACTCCTCAGTTAGCCTAATATTCATGCTGCGCGCAAATGTGATCCACAATGGCTCCTTTTGGATCACAGCATGGCGGAGGGTTCCAGGTTTTGGTTTACTAGAATCGTCTGAATTATCTGTCACAACATAAAATTTTCCAGCCTTACCACCGGTTGTCTTGTAACCAAAGCCAAGGACGCAATCTGCTAGTCTCTTTCGGTTAAGATGCCAATTTGGTTGGCATCTCCAACACCTATCAATTGGGTTGGTAGCCAAGCATGGACCACCGTATCGTTTTCCCTTTAGGTACCTTCTAGTGCTGTTGCTTGTCAAATGGATGTCGCTTGACACAGTGGCGTTGCTTGTCAATTTGATGCTCTTTAAAGTCCTGCACAAAATATATATACATGCATAAATATCAACTATGAATATTTTGATTATAATATGTCAATGATATATGTTAGCCTTGATGTCAAAATAAAACACCTACCTGCGAACTTCTTTGTTTAAGCTATCAGTGACTATTGAAGGATCTGATTCATAGGAATTAAGGGCAGCCTCTTTCGCTTCCTCTGCTCGCCTTTGCCACACCTCATCGAATTGGCCAATGTTGGCCATTAGGGTCGGGAGCAAAGTAGCAAGGCCGAAAAATAAGATGAAGTACCAATTGAGCATAGTGTTCCCCATTTTGGTGTGTATGTATCTATGTATCAAGAGCTAATTAACAGGAAATTGTGATCGTATAGGGTCGAGCCTTTGCTGCTGTCTCTAGAGAATAAGGTCAGACCAACATTTCGTAGGTGGTGAATATGATCCTACCCACCTGTAATGTTGGTTGACAAAACAATTAGAAATTTGAAATCGCTTTGTTGTACTTGCTTAAATACTTTCGACAAAGTCTAAAACGAGACATTATAGGGGAGAATTGGGGGAGTCAACAAACAAATTTCTATAAATATCTAGTTTGTCAAAACAATCATATAGGCCTTCTTTTTATACCTTCTGTCCAAATTAAGATGGTGAGATAATTACAGTTACAAATGAGAGGGTCAAATAATTTCAGAATGAGATTCATGTTGCCCAATTACACATCCTATTTACAAGCATAAATGTATTAAAAGTCGCATACAAATCTATACTATGTAATTACAAAACATTGTAAGGTGAATTATACTATATAATTTATACTACATCGTTCATTGAATTTGTGAATTATATATAAAATACTCGTTCATTGAATTTTTTTTATATTAATTTTCATGCTATACACGGTTTATCGTAACAACAATGTGTGCAGTGAAAGAGACCAAATATGGAAATAGGATATAGTTGAAATAAGAAATCAAATCTCAAATAGGAGCCACTGAATTAGCACAAGTTCTGTATGAATAAGAAATAATCTTCTCGTATAATCCTGTTGATCAAGTTCGCGCTCCTCCAAACGACGTCGCTTTACTCCTTGAAAACACAAACGTGAGCTAGCCGGCGAGTGTGTGCCAGATACCTCTCCGATGCCTAAGTCAGCAAAATAGACAAATAGACAAAAACTCTGTGTATTCGAGAATCAAAGTTGTGTTACCTCTCCATAGGTGATGTTATGAGCTTTTATAGGTTCCGTGTGACACAATCCAAGTATAACTCTTACTCCACCATGTAGAGTCCTCCTAGGAATCACCTTCCTGAAAGATAATGCTTATCCTTCAACACCCCCTCACTGCTTAAACCAAGTGAGATGGTTCTACCACGATTGGATGTCAATACGACCGAGATAACATGGCTATGCTAAAGCCGCAGACGAGACTGAGCTCCCACTGGCTCGGTTCTTCTTTTCACTGCGTGTACCTCGGTTTGACATATTCCAACTAGGTTGTCTGAAACCGCACTAATCACATCAAGCTTGAACCAAGCTAACCAATAGCAAGGTTCTGAGGAAAGCTCAACATACTTCGGCTCAATATGGTATGACCGAGCTAACCGTTCTGAGTGTGGTGACCGAGCTAACCGCAGAGCTTTCTTGGACCGGGCTAACTTCTAGGCCCTTTTCCTCAGCCCTTCTTACTGCGGTCCACAGAATGGCCCATTACCCAACTCGGCCCAATTTATGCATAAATTACCCTCTCAATTGTCCCTTAATTCCATCTGCGCAGTATGATAGGGATTACCTGTTATTAGCCGAGCTAAAAAAACCTTTAGCCTTCCAACCGAGCTAAAAAACTTTTAGCCTTCCAACCGGGCTAAATTCATACCGTGCTATCAATCTGTCCGGTCAAAACGTCTCCTCAGCCTCCAACTGAATCGATTTCTATTCCAAGGACACGTGGCAGACTCTGATTAGCCAAATATAGCTGTCACGCTGTCTTTGTACTTCGCATTTTTTGAACAATCCCGCCTTTTTGTCCTTCCCTCTACACAAAACAAACCTTTCGTTTTGAATCTATCACTTCACTTTTCATCATTTTCCTTCTCTTCGAACTTGTTTGAATCTTCATTTCTCCAAAATACTGTGCCTAGAAAAACTCGTGTTCTTGCTGAGATTGCTTTCATCCTCAATCCCTTCACCTCGAACTGGTATGTAACTCAAACCTGCTTCCTTTCTGTCGATTTCGTTCTTGTTTATATAGCATGTTTAGTTGTATGTTTTTTCAAAACATATGCCATGTTTGCTTCCATGTTTCTATAAAAAACCATGTAACATAACCACTGTCTATATGAATAACCTGGGAAATGGTAGTTTTGATCCAAAATCACACATCAACCGAACTAGGATACTGTTTGTATTAGATGCAAGCCTAGCCATACCCAACAACCGCACTAAAACTTCATGCCATACTCGCGGTTTCCATAAGTTAGGGACCTTTGGTTTCTTTTAACCGAGCTACCGAACCGTACTAGGTTTGCGCAATACCACGCTAGAAAGCCTCAACCACCGACCGAGCTAAATCTTGGGGCTAAACCAGCTCCCTTAGTTCAAACCGAACTAAGAATGCTGCCCAAAAGGCTCAACCAAGCTGAAACCCCTTGCTTAAACCGAGCTAAGACTGGATAGCATCCCACGTAGCCGAGCTAGGACTTCATTTATCTTGCCTATATTTCTTGTAGCACGGTCCCACGATCTGTGCTTAACACCTTTATTTTTTACTTTGCAGACTCTGACTAGGTTGCCCAGGCACTCCTTTGAACGTTCAACCGAGATATCCAGTATCTTCTCAGCGCCGAGCTAACACTTAGGCTAATTTATACATAATTTAAACACATGGGAAAGTATAGGTTTTTAGTAAACTCACCAGGTGCTATGGCCAAGTTCCGAAGGGACTACCATATCCCTGATGATGTCCACCTCACCCTAGCCGAACTAGATGTCACACCTTGGGGAAACCCTGGTTTTGTTCCCTTTACCCTTCTTTCCATTGTAGAAACCGGACTAAGATTCCCTATACAACCTCTTCTCTGTGAATTTCTTAGGCAAACCAACCTCTACCCTACCCAACTTTCCACAAATTCATACCGTATAATAAATGGTATCGCCAAGCTAAACCGCTGTGCTGGTCTTAACCTCGGTTTAGCCGAGCTTTTCCACTAATATTCCATAGGTTCAAATGAAGATAGCTGGGTTTCTTATTTAAGAATAAGGCGTCGACGTGAAAAGATAATAAAAAATACCCCAGATAAGGATGTAAACGATGATGACTTCTTCTGGGTTTCTGGGAATTTTAAAGACCAACAAGCCCAGATCCCGGGTGATCGAATAAATTGGAATAAAGGAGTTGCCGGTATAATTACCTCGGCTTGGTTTTCTGCTTTCTTTTACCTCGATTTTCTTATGTTGAACCGCACTAACTGTTGTCTTCTTTTCTTCATGCAGATTTGAACTTTCTCAAGTCCCAGTACAACTATCCCAACTTAAACACACTTCGCGTCGCACTGCGATATCCTAATAGAGATTGGGCCGAGCTACTGAATTTTGAACCGATGTATAGATACAGTATTAGGCGAAAGACCAGGGTGACTGACTTTTTATTGGAAGCCTTTCTTGAACCGGACCCAACCTTGCCTGAAATCAACCTAATCCGACTAACTGTTGAACAAGAAATGGCCAAGAAAAAAGCCCTAAGAGCCCTTTTGACCGAAACAAACCAGTTCGAGGTACCACCGACCGGCCAATAGGAATGGCAACGGGACGGGACGGGACGGGACGGGACCGGGGATCACCCTCCCCGTCCCCGATCCCTGATAGCGAAAATGTCCCCGGCCCCGATCCCCGACGGGGAGCCTATGACTGTCCCCATCCCCGGCCCCAACGGGGATCCGGTTTCCCCGACCCCGAAACTCCCCCGATCGAAATCTGTTTCAACATTCACAGATCAATAGTGCAAATCATATATCAATAGTGCAAAGAACGATCCGATCAAAAAAAAAAAAATAGTGCAAAGAAGTATACATTCACAGATCACTCATCTATATACCATGACATCATATACCAATAATCTTCATTTCACTCATCTAGAACATGTATAAAAAATAAAAAATTTGAAACATTCACAGAGAGAGAGAGAGGGGTCAAGAACAAGCACACGAGTGTCAACAATGGCAGCCGAACATCTCTTCCTCATCAGCCCCAACAGAGCCGCCGTGGCCAGACTCTTAGGGCTGTGCTTGTGGCAGAGTTTAGAGAGGAGGAGGGGTCTCGATCGGCAGTCGAACTGAGGAAGAGGAGGCGGGAGATCGGCGGGTAGAGAAGGAAGATCGGCCGGGAGAGAGAGAGGAGGAGGGCTATCGACGAGAGATCGGCAGGGAGAGGAGGAGATCGGCGCGGGGAGAGAGAAAAAGAGAGAGAGAGAGAGCGCAAGAGAGAGAGGGGGGCGGTGTGACTCACACAGGTTGTGTGTGTTTTAGGGTGTGGTTGATATATGTATATATACATATATATCTAAGGGTATAATAGTAATATTACATCGGGGAAACGGGGACGGGGACGGGGACGGGGCTGAAACACTAATCCCCGTCCCCTTCCTGAAATTGATCGAGGATTAATTTTTGAATACCGTCCCCTCCCCGTCGGTGATATTTTTCGGGGAAAAACTACTCAACTCGTGGTCGGGGGATTGGGTCTCCGTCGGGCCGGGTTTAAATTGCCATCCCTACCGGCCAAACACAAGAGGCCATGGTAGCCCTGCCAACCCATCAGCCTTCAACGTCTCGGACAAGTAAACGTGCTTGGATTTCTCTACCCAAGCCACGCCTTGTCGAGGAAGACGAAACCGTGCTTTCTCCAACCGCAGTACCAAGCCTGCAACCTGAAAGCTTGGACCGAACTAACTCTTCTGATTGGGCACCGAAATTATCGTACTAGAACCGAGCCATCCGAGACACAAATTTAGTGGTGGCAAACAAAGATCACATGCTGGCCTTCAATCTGGCTAAGAGCGTGTGTCTGCCCCCTGATATGGATCATCATGCCCACCTTACCGAGCTAAAAGCTATCCGTTCGACCACCAAATCAATGGTGCTAGTGAGCATTCTATCCTTTATCTTCCTGTTTTTGTGCAACTATTAGCTCGGTTCTCACTCCAATTTGCTTACCATATTTATGCAGGCCATGCAGAAGAACCAGATTGCTCATAAGCGTGTGCTAGAGCTACGCAAAACAACGAGGCAAGCCTTGGCAGAGGCTAACCAGAAGATGGCCGAGCTAAACGAAGCCAAACAAAAAATGGTCGAGCTTCAATCTGAGGTCGCCCGTCTCACCGGTGTAGTTAACACAGCCAAAGTGGAGAAACAAAAAGCTTTGACTGAGCTGAAAGACTACTACCTGCGTGAGCTTGCCACCATTGAGGAGAAGAAGACGGTTGAGATAACTGACCTTAAGAAGAAGATCGGTGATGCAGAAGACCGCGGCTTCAAAGAAAGTGAAGCAA